TATCTTCTATCTCTATCCAACCACTTGCAGTTTCTGTAAAAAAAAAAATTTCAATAGTTTTTAGATGCTATGAAAATTAAATTTACAATAAAATCTTTAAAAAAACAAGATTGAATATTTGACTGAAGAATGACGACCCATCTCCCTCATTGGTCAAAGCTTAGCTTTCACAAGAAGTCTAAACTCGGTCCTGAAGGGGGGTCCCCGAAAAACTCGAGAAAAACTCGAAGTACTATCGAGCTGCCTGAAAGGGAAGAGGAGGATGGTTCAAGGAGGGAGGGAGACGAAACCTCAGATAACAATAACAAAGAAAATATGCTTGAATCAGATTTAGATAAAAAGTTGGATTTGGAAAGTAAGTTTTCCTTCTCTTTCCGGACTATGTTTGTACTCGTAGGAAAATACAGGGTTACTCACAAAGGATGAGACAAAATGAACCACTGTACTGCAGAAGTGTTTTTTTTTCCTTTTCCATGAAACGCTTTAATTTTTTTCAAATGATAACATTCAAGTCACAAATTCACTTTTTTAAATCGTTTAATTTGGGTCGCCGGCCATTAAAGTCTCATTTTTGGTGAGTAACCTTGTCCTTAACTTAAAATATAAGGAATATGGATCAATTACAATCAATTACAATTGTTTACAATAAAATCTGGTTCCTAAGCCTTTCTCATACGTCACAGGAAAATATAAACAAACATATAACTTCATTCCTTTACGCTGTACTTTTATTTTGTACAATAAAATTATTTGAGGCTGTAATATATTATTTTTATCCTAAAAAAAACAATCGTTTAAAACTTTCGAGTTTGCTTATATTTTTTCTCTGGGTCAAATTTTGGTATGATGACTAATTTTGGGAAAAAACATATGCCAAACACGAACCACGTAGTATGTACAATGTACTGTGTGTAACTGTACAAAGTACTGTTTGTAACTGGGCAGTGTACAATGTACCATGATAAAAAACCGCGTGCAGAAAACGACCGCCATCGTCAAAAATATACGGAACACTAGCTTGGGAACCCAGAGTTGCCAGGGTAGTCATTGTTTACACGCGCTTTGTCGTAAATTTTGATTTTCGCTATTTTTCCCCCTCTAAAAGTTGACCCACTCAATTAAGAATTTCAAAAGCAAGGAACATTTCGATGGATCTCCCGTGTTCCCCAATCAAAGTTTGCGGCCAATCGGTCCATGGGTTTATGAGTTATGATCGGACAAACAGACAAACAGAGATTACAGCTTTATTTATCCAAATACACACACACACACATACGATTTGGACTCACATGTTTTGTATAAAAGATGAAAACTAACACCTAGCTGTGAAGCAGGTTTATGATGTGTGAGGGTTTTTTCAACAAACTGAAATATTTGATAATTCTGGCCGCCAAGGGGATTATTCAAGGAGGCTTGATAAAACCTAGATTTATAGCATTCAGGGATAAATATTTTTACATTTTCTAATAAATTAAAAAACAAAAAGATATTTTTGTCATTGTAATTTAAAATCGACACATCTTTCAATCAACTACATGTCTTGAGATATCCTTGATTTTTAATCTGAAAATTGAAAACTTGCTTTATGAAAGTTACTTGAGGATTTACGCGCATTAAGACAAGGAAGGAAATTGATAGAATTTATTTTTTTAACACTCTTTTAACTCAGGATCGTTTGCAATAACGTCATAACATAGGAAACTTTATGTGTGTTCAAAAATTGTAATAATCATTCGACGCGTAATATTTGATTTTGATGACGTACGTTGAATAAAAACTATTTCTTTTGAAGTTTAAGGAAAGCAAATTTGTAAGGGTATTAAAGAAGTGTGTAGGTATTTATTATATGTTATATATATTATATATCATGTATTTTTCTATACATATTATTTAATATATTTAGTATATGCTAATAAAATGAATACATATATTCAGTAAATCCTCAATATTTCCTATTCAGAAACTTTTCAAAACTAGATATAGTTTAGACCAGATATGTTTCAAACTATTTGCTTTCAATTTCAACAATCTATTGAACCAAATTTACCTAACTTTTAAAATATTATCAATATCTATTTTACCTTAAATCCCTCCGGGGTTGTCCCGCTTCTTTGTTCAATTCATACAGAAAAGACGGAAAAGGGAATAATATGGTTTCCAAGCCGAGTAAGACTTCCTGGAAAGTAAAAGCAAAGGTTTAAGACCCCCCCCCCCCC